GTTGCTAGTTTAATATCAGTAAATGGGATCTGATTCAATATTCTAAGACGTATAAAACAATATAATAACTTGCTGAACAGACAACAAACCAAACTCTGTTTGTGAGTATGCTGTTTAAAACAAATTAATAACGTTGCACTGTGATGCCACATCAAAATTAAAATTTAAAAAATTGTACATTACAATATGGTAGTTCATTACAACAGACCTCTGGAACAGGGGTCGATGAGCCCAAAGGCCCTTTATTAGGAGACTGCTTAAATTGTTTCAATTTTGAACAGCATGTTGCTTCGTTTTTGTAAACGTATGCCATATTTTGTTTCCTAAAGCTCTAATGTCTGGATTCTGTGTTTGACAGAACCTGGGCAAGGGTTCCCTGTGGATGGTGGATCCTGTGTTTCGGCCAAACCTTCTTCAAGCTCTTCAAAAGGCTCCGTTTCATCCACAGTCGACCCTGGAAAGAATTGCAGCAATTGCCAGTTCCCCTGCCAATAGGTAAAAAGTCATCTTCACAAATTCCAAGTGCAGCTTTATATACAGATCAAGAAATTTTTGTAGATTTCATTATTCTCAATTGTTTAGAACTTTTCACAATGACTGTACATAATTGTCAGAATTTGTCTCTTTGGAATACCTAAAATTGCTACTATAAATGCCAGATCATTAACGTATTGGGAAACTTTTTTCTTTCTTTTTCTTGACTCTTCCAACCTTTTGTTTTTATTGCACTCTTGTGAAATGATTTTCTCTTGTACATTTTTAATGACAGTCGTTGCGACTGTGTGTCACTTCCTTTTGTTTGAATGTTTATTTTCATTTGTTTCCATAGTGGTCCTTTACTTCCCCGCAGTGCATCTGTGACTTCTGACTTGACCCCGACTGGCCGGCACGCTGGACGACGCCTGCCAGACCCTGACCTCTTCCCTTTCCTCAGCCGACGGCTGGCCGCATCTGGGGTGGACATAGTACCAGTGGCAGGGGCTGCAAACGATGGCAGTACTGTTGACGATGTCAACTCGTTGGACGATGTGGATGCGGCTGCAGCAATGTTAGCATTGAAGCATGGGCCACTTATGCTCATTACAAGAAACGGTGAGTGGGCATATGTAGGTCTTAATGTGCAATATGTAGGAAATGGTGGGTGCGAAATGGGGGAAATCTAAGATTTAATCTACTAATTTTGTGTTATGTTGCTGGCAGACAGCCTCAGATTTTCTCTTGTGTGATGAAAGTGTCCTTTACTTCTGAACAGAAGGGGGAAGACATGCAGAACTGTTACTTTTATAGTTAGTTGCTTCTCTACTGTGTGGGATTATGTTGGAAAAATTAACTATGTATTGTGTAAAATATAGAAAAATATTTTCTTCAGAGTCGTGGTTATAGGATTTTTTCTCAGAAGATACCCTTCACTCGCACTATCATAAATTTTGAAGGTTCATATATTCTTGAGTATTTAGTAGTATTTTGTTTTATTTGCAGATGTCTTCAAACCCTTCCAGGGGCAAAATGGAGCAGATCCAAAGGCCAAGAAAAAGACTAGAGCTTCCAAGAATGGAGTAAGCAAATTATTTGTCCTAGGTCGTATTAAATTAAGTCCTAGGTTGAATTACAGGTCTGGAGTACTATTTGAAGCATAAAAAATGAGAAAGACCAGAGCCATAATTTCAAAATTTGGCTGCTGAACATAAAAAAGTTTACAGGCAATGATACAGCATATGCTAGTTTGAGAAGAACAGTGAACTACTGCAGTTCCATCAGTTGCCTAATCATTATACTACATGGAGAGAGGCTGCTTTATACAGTTTCTGATCAAATTTTACAAAAAGCTATGCACTTTTAAAATGTGGCTTAGGTCTCATTCTCAACATTTGATTTTCATAATTACCAAATTGCTGGCTGAGAAGTGAAATGGGATGGGTAACTGGTGCAGGGTGCTACATTCTCAAAGTATGTAGATGTAAAAATTTTGGACAATAGTCGTAGCATGTGACGTGTTGAATTGGTCTGTAAAGGGAGGTAGATCTAACATTTTCAAGTAATAAGACTCTCAGATAATTGCTCTTGAGGAGAACAAGAAGAAACAAGCAACAGGTCAAACGATAACAATCCAAGATAAAATATAAAGTGATTTAAAGTGTTAATTAGATCACTAGTGAGGTAGATACCTTTTAATAACTACATATGTTAAATTAAAGGTGTTGTCTGGCATCAAAAATTTATTTTTCTAAAGATAGTTTTGATCACGCAGCGATCATCCTCAGAGCTTGCAGTAAAATAATTTTTGATGCCAAACAACATCTTTAATTTAGCATATTTAATTTCATTTGAAGTGGTTCTGTGACAAGATTTGAAAATCAGATGTGATAATCCCTATATTTATTTCCTCCATTATTAAATGAAATCAAATTTTAATGTTCTACTGTTTCAGGATGCAAATGAAGAGATGTTCCCAGTGATAACAACCTCTCCAAGTGAAGACCATACATATAGTGCAGGTCCCACGGTTCCTCTTCCAACACCATCGTCATCCCCTGACGAAGCTTATGTGGGTGGCTCAGCATCAGAGGACAGGTTTGGTTTCAATGTCTATCTACCAACCAGTAGAGATGGCTTCTTGGCATTTGTTGCCACAGCACCATCTCTGACCGGGAAGTACTAGGGTTTGGGTCTCGATGGTGATGGATGATTGTCAATCCTTTCTGGGTCTAATTTAGCTGCTCTCAGGAGAAGAATTTTAATGTTCAGAACACTCTAATCAGCAGTTTTCTGTGGTTTCTTTGATTAATACCAGGCAAAAGTCTGACGAAGTACCCTTATCAAACAGGTCATCACTTGCAATCACACACATGCACACACATACACACACACATATACCTCTCCCCCCCCCACACACACACACACACACACATTACCTCACATGGCAGGAGACAAGTGAGGAGCTTAGAACTTCTCAATGCAAATCACTAAGCTTGTGCAATGCTGGCAAATATACCTGGAGGGGAAAACCTCACCAATTATCTTGTAGGTCAGCACTGCATCTCACATTCCAATGAGTTCTCCAAATAAATGTGAGAGGAACTCCACTACCTCCTGTCTATAACATGCATACATTCGTGGAACTAATCCCAAAAGTAGTTGACACTCACAGAAAGACTAAAATACTTGTTCAATTGGTCTTCAAATGAAGCCATTGAACTGTTTCAAATGTGTCAGTTTGTTTCAACTCTTAATAGCACAAGATTCCAGTTTTGGTTGTTGTTTTGAAACAGTTGCAGTTTTCTTACCATTTTATGAAAACTATTAGCTTAGTGTGACATCTCTGGAATTGTTGTTTTTTGTGTTTAAAAAAACATTATGAACCTGCATAGCACAAATAAAGTTTGAATAAAAAGAAATTTTAAATATATGACAATTGTCTAGCTCATCTGTGCTTGTGCATAGTGCATCATGAAATAGTATTACTAGTAATTCTTATTTTCAAATTATTTTGTTACATTACAACATTAGATAGAATTTTCATCAATCTGACAAATCATGTTGTAATTATTCACGATATGATGGAATGAACTCTGAAGCATTGCAGTTTTGCATGGTCATCCTAGACTTGCCCAGTGTCTTTCTGAAGCAATACACACTGGTCTCAAATGCCAAAAACTAGGCCAAAGAACTAAGGTTTGGCTTGAATTTCTTGAAAAATTGTTTGCGAGGGCTGATGGAGAGGAGGTAGCTGATTGCAACTAAAACAAATTTTCTAGCAAATCAAGCCAAACCTTTGTATTTTGGCCAGGTTTTTGGCAGTTGGGACCAGTGTGCCAAGTGAACTATTGATCAGCTTTGTAGATGCCTTAAAACCTCCAGAAATTCATTTTAGATTATTAAAACCTCCAAAACCTTTTCTCTTCTTTCTTTCTTTCTTTCTTTCTTTCTTTCTTTCCTTCCTTTTTTCTTCCTTTCTGCCTTTCCCTCTTTCAGTTGCACAAAATTATGAAGATCTTTAATAAAACAAATCATTTGGTTATGATTCCTGCAGTGTTTCATAAAAAAGTAGCGGTTTTGGTCTTAAATTGAATTAAATTTAATTAAACATTTTTTTAATCAGAAACATCTTTGGAAACAGAATATTATTGTTGTTGTAAGTGCTAATGAGAGAAGGATATAAATAGGATTTAACAATGTTAAAAACTCTTTTCAATTGTGGGTTTATCGGTTTTATCAGAAGGCCCTTAAGGCAGTTGACACAATATTATTTTCATTCAGTTTTTTAACCTAATTGAAAAAAGTGCAGGGAATAATTTTAAGACCTCAAAAAACTGAACAATTAATTTGTCATAAATAGATAATAGTAGCAGTTTAACCCTGTTCCCTAACAAGAAGCCAAGCATGACCAATCCAAATGGCATAAATGGAAGTACCAAGATAGTAAATGTGTTCAAGCGCTGGTCCCCAAATTTCTATTTCAAAGTTAAAGACATTGAACACTAAAATATTTTCAGTAGAATAACTGAAAACCTGCATTAAGTGTAACACAACTATCTGAACACTAAGCATTACAAACAATCACTCCTGGGTGAGAAAGACCTGTCTCTCTGAAGATCTGTGGTTGATGTAATGCTCTGTTTGTCCCTGTGGAGGCTGCTCACTTGGGTTTATGCTGCACGATTACCTTACATTGCAGATAATTAAGCCTGAGAAAAAGAGATTGGGATCTATCTATCAATTGGCCCCACACTTGATTTTCTTCTTTTTCTCACTGACAGATCTCTAATTCAGTACGTTAACTTCTGCTTTCAACATTGAAAACTAACTTGGAATTGCAAAATATGCTATACAGAAATGTATATGCTAGACGCAATGAACGTTTTCTTTAATGGTTAGCCAGCATTTACCTTCCCTCCCCTCAAGCTACACTATTGTGAGTCACTGTATAAACTCCATACATAGATTTTTCCAGTTTTTAAATCTCATTATTCTAACTTAGGCATGCTTTCTTCCTCTTTCAGTAGTTACCAGCCTCCAAAGATGTTTGTTGCTGATTGGCCCATTGCAGTGCATTGTGCCACCAGACCTTCGATTGTTGGGGCAGCTGATCCAGAAGAGCAACGGAAAATTGCGGAGGGTGCAGATGCATTGCTTAATCTTGCTGGGATCACCACGCGCAAACGTTCCCATTCAGGCGAATTCACCATGTCACCCCCTACATCTGAAGATGTCACACCCCCTCCAGTCCCCAAACGCACCATCGCCACCCGAGGTCGTAAGCGTGGTAGCAGCGTAGCTACAAATGGTAGTGCAGGCTCAACCCCCACACGACCGCGGGCACTGTGGCCTGCGTCGGGACGGGTTGGAAAGAGACGGGGAACTGGTGACAATCGCCGTGGAGGTCCTGGCAGGCGAAGAGGATCTGTCCACCACAACAACAACAACAGCATACACCTGAAACCAGTGAAAACTTCAGTCTCGCCATCTCTGCAAAGAAATGATCATGAATTGCGACGGCCTGTTCGTTCAGAAGAAAAAACTGGTCGGACCAGGAGGTAGAAAAGATTAGGTTGGTTTACAGCAGAATGAGATCCTTTGAGAAATATTTTTCCTGTGTCCTGCTATGAAGTAGTGATACTAATGTATCTAGTGTGTGATTTTATGAGAGTTTTTCTTTATCAACATCTTGTTCTGGTTTTTGCTATTTTAGAATGGAAGAATTTATTTAAGTAGTTCAATTGAAGTATTCTGTAGGAGCCACTTTCTATATAGCCTTAATGTCATGTACCTAACTCTAATATTGTGATAAAACTTGATACAAGCTCAAAGAGGCTTTGAAAGATCCGAAACAAAATGTGAAAGTATTTTGATTTTATATTCCTTTCTAATTTTCGTTTTTTGCTTGTAATTTTTATGGTACAGACATTGTTCCAGTATATATTGCTGAAGTGTGGCATTTGTAACACAATCATTATCATAATATGTGCATATAATAGTAATAATAATAATATACAATAGTGGTTTGCAATAGAGAATATTCTCTTTGTGTGTTTTTTGACAAGATTGTGTTTTTTGATGCAAAATGGCAATATTTTGTATTGAAGACAGTGGAACAGTAAGGTCTTGATGATTTCTTAGATATCCTATTATGGTAGACATAAAATAATTTGAATAATTGGATGTAAAACTCCATTTAATGAGCTGCCCCAATCACAATTTCATTTTCTTTTTTTCTTTCTTTTTTAAGACTTAATGAGTAAGATGGAGTTTAAAACACTACAAGTCTTCAAAATCTCAATCTGTTGTCATTTGTAATTAAAACTGAAAAAAATTTACTATTCTTAAATTTTAATTTGGCATCAGTAGAATAATTTGGGTTTTGCAAATAAATAGTATGAAAAAGAAGGCAGCAATGAAATTTTGAGTTTTAAGCTCAGTTATGTATTGGGCATTTTTGTAATCTATTAAGCTTACAATATAGATTCAGTGAAGCTTTTTAAATTGCTTCCCTGAAAATTTTATGACAAACTGACATAGAAGGCAAGTTTACATATCTCATAGATTGTGTTAATAGCGACAATCAGGTAAACACCAAATGTTGATGTTTAGACGACTCTTGATGTTTGTTTTTCAGCTGATATTAATAGTATTGTTATTTGTGTATGTGCTGTAGGAAACATAGCTGATCATAAGATAATTTTTGAAACTATAAATTTGCCAATTGTACTTCAATTATATAAAGGTCATTTGATCTAGGGGGCAGTCTTGAAAATTAATATTGTTTTGATACTGAAAGTATTTCTGTATCTGTTCATTGATAACACTTTAGTGTGTTAATTTTGAAATTCTTATTCTATAACTAGCCCTCGCTTACTAACTTGAGGTCTGTTTTATGAATTCATTGTTGATGTGGTCAGGAGTTTCCTATAAAGTGTGTGTTTTCAGAAACATGACATCATTGCTTGTGTTTGTGAGTGCAAGTGAGAGAAACTTAGGTATACCTCACTGTTGTTAGCAAGTCATTCCTAAGTGCTTCTTGCATCTGATAAATTTGTAATACTTTGATTTTAAGTGTCAAAAAAAAGGAAGTACATGGATCTATTTGCTGATCTGAGATATTTCCAGGAATTCTGTAATTTAATGCAGTGCTTGGAGTATGAGATTTTACTGTTCCTACTGTGAATTTTTGGGCCCATAGAGAGAGCTTTTATGAGTGCTTCTCATGATGTCTTTTCTGTTTCTGAATAGTTTTTCTTTTTCTATCACTCCCTCTGTCTCTCTTTTTCAAATGATGGTTAAGCATTTAATCAGCTCATCAGAAATCTTGCATTTCACCTTTTTGTTGCTTTGTTTTTGCTTATTTTCATTTGAAGTGTAAATGATGTGGGTTGTGTTCCTTGAGAGTTGCCAACTTTAAACAAAATATGCTATGTTTTTCACATAAGAGTACAAAAATATTTTTCCTTTAAGTGGTCTTCCAATGCTGTTAATCTTTTGGGTATAATGTTGTAAGATATATGTAGCTACTTGTATGAATAATGTTTTACAGCTACATGTAGTTACTAAAAATGTATGAAACTTCTGTGCCAAAACCTTTTCTATTTTCAAACCATGATTATTCATTTTCCTCCATACCACATTGACCGGTAGCAAAACAATGCATATTTGATCTTCCTGAAAACATTTAGTGGAATAACTGAATTCTCTGCTAAATATTTTCACAATTTACATATTCCACTAGAAATGTTGGCAGCTCTGTTTTGTTGTTTAGTTTTGCTTTTGGTTGGTGTTTGTCAAGTATTGAAGCAATAAATTATGTGTTGATCTGCTTGAATGAAGCCAGAATATTGGCATCTATTGTATATAAGAAACGTATTACGTTCAAACGAGTATCTGTACATAATTGAAGAGATATTTATCAAAATATTGTAAAGACTGGTTCAACAGAAGTGTAATATTTTACAATGTTTTATAAATAGAAAACATTAATTTATCTATGCAAAATTTCATTATTCATAATTAGGAAAAAGGATACGTTTCATACTTGTAGAATAGCTGTGGGGACATGTGATGCAGTGTACAGATGTTTGTGACAAAAAGTAAGCTAAAGAACGTATCCTATCTTTCTGGAAATAAAGAGAGTTTAATTTATCATGGAAGTCCATGAAGTTTTCATGAACTAATTAGATGCATATTCTTTTTGAGATGAAAAGAAGCAAAGGCTTCAGATTATTCTAAATATCAGTGTTCTTTCTAAGAGACTTTTCAAAAATGCTTTTTGTAGCACTATTTGACCAAAGAATGTAGGTACTCTGACAGTGTTCTTCAAAGTATTCATTTTCCATTCATCGCTGACTCAAATTGACTCTTGAGTATAATAGTTAATGGAAATAGTCAAAAAATTGTTCTTTAATCTAATCATTGAAATTATTTTCCAGCATCTTTATGAATTTCTTTATTTTTAATAATTGGTTGACAAATGAAAAAGTGTGTGTTTTTGAAGAGGAATTATTTGGATTGAGCTAATGGCAATGGGGCAAATTAAATTTAATTGAAAATATACAGTTAAGTACATAAGGGTTATTTTTGGAAAACACTGATGCAGAAAGTATTTTTCTGCGTAATTGAAGTTGGCTGTTGGGCTGATGTAGCACAAGGAATTGTATTGAATTGGATACCTAGAACAAGTCTGTAATGTATTGTTGACAATTGATTCACAGCAGAGGTATGTGCAATGTTTATCTCAGAAATATTCGAAGTATTAATTTCAGAAAGTAATACTAATTAATAATATTAAGTAAATGCTGTAAAATGAAATTTTTACAGTCATTTGGAGAAATATCATACTGGCAGTGTTGGTTTGTCCTGTAAGTATTCATATATTTTGAATGTGAAAAGTTTGGTTAGTTAAAAATAGAAGGAATTAATAGGAAACTATTATGCATACATTTAGCAAGAAGCCAGGATTCATTAATATATGTGGAGAGGATATATATGCAAAAATTTGTTTCTATTGTCAATATTTCGCATTCTCCATTTTTATTACATACCTCTGCTGTGTATGTGTAGTGTGTGATCTTAAACTGTTCTGCTGCCTCTGATTTATTTTTATTATGACAGAAAGGTGTTGAACACAAGTCTGTGAAAGATTGCAGAACAGTTTTAACTAAGATAAAAGTGATAAACTTGAGTTGTTTCTGCATTTTGAACAATATATATTACACGGGTGAAATAATGAATATAATAATGAAAGGGGGGGGGGGGGGGGAGGAATGGAAAAGTCATACAATTTTTCTCTAGGCATAGTATCTAAGGAATGAAAAAATTTGCAATTCACAGAGCTTTTTGTTGTCAGTTCCAGAAGAAATCAGCTGATTTTGTCATTACTTTAAAAAACAAATTATTTTCATGGTCTTGAAAATGACAAAAACAAATTATAAATGTTTACATTTTGTTGATTTGATCATTAAATTATTGTATATATAAAATATTATGTAAATCCAGAATTTTTTTAACAACAATCTGTAACAATTGCTTTGATCTTTTTGAAGCACACTCGAATCACTTAAATCGGAAAATCAACAAGGGTTTTAAATATTTGAAAACTTAAATAATTAACTTTGGGGGGATGGAGAGTGTTAAATTTAATAATTTAGATGAAATTGAAATTTTTAATTGCCCAAAGTTGGAGAATCTGAATCTAAATGTTTTGCATGATCTTCACTTGTTTGATGAAGTTGAAAATAGTTTTGTTAATAATATTTTATTGAAGAAACATTGTAGAAATGAAAAAAATGGTTTCAATAAGATGAGATTACCGGTAACTTACAGAGATCTTCTCAAAAATTCAATTTGATTTAATGGATTAAAGATAAATATTTTCTTGGGAAGTGATCGGAACACAAAACAAAATTTTTATTATGTTTCAAATTGGTGCATTGTCAATCTGAATATAATTTTATGTCCACTTCCTCTGAAATTAAAAAGTTGAAGTTCTTGCTACATTCCATCCAATTTCAATTACCACCTAATTGAGCAACATATTCTTGCATCTAGTGCATTTTTTTCAAACTTTTGTTCATCACTTTTCTTTGGGTCTCTTCTTCTGACAGTGGCAGCAGCTGTTATTGCTTCATTACCAGGAGGCATGCAGCACTGGGAAAACTTTTATCTACAGTGCTTCTTTGAACTTTTTATACAAACTATTTTGTATGATGAAGAACAGATAGAACTGTGTGTAGGATTGCTATCCAAAAATGATAGAAATGTTGACAATAATGCTATACAATATTTGTATATGTGTGTGGTTATTCTTGGAATAAAGTCTCTTATGCCTAGTTTTTCTACCCCAAAGCTTTACTTCACGAGTCAACTATTCAGCTCATTTTAAGTTCAGAGGTTGCATTTGTGATTTCACAACAGAAATATTAAGATGGTTAGTACATGTTCATTTTATTCGTTCAGTTACGTTGGCAATAAGAAATTGGGAATTTTGCTGAAAAATAAATCTGTATTTTTTTGGAATAATTTGAGTGTTTTGTTCAAGAAAATGAGTGTGCGGTTCATATATTAGGTGTAGTACTTCATTGAAGTTGTTCCTTTTCAATTAATCTTTTTTTTTATGCACCCTCTTGTTTTTAGATCTTTTACATAGTTCAACCCCTGAGCTGTTAATGGTTGATTGCAGTGCTTTACTGTGCTATGCAACCAGCAATAACTATTTTTTGCTTTTAATCTCTTCTACAGAAGGACTTTCATAATAGCAACTTTTTGGCTTTAAAAGCCAACCTGCAAATCTGTGCCTCTTGTTTTTTTTTTTAATTGGTGACTGATATAGTGCAAGTTAAAAAACTATTTTGCCTGTCTTATTGTAACTTCTTATCTTATCCTACTGGTATTGGAGCAATACTATCCTCAGTAGTCCTTCATTCAATAGAAAAGGAAATTGATTTTACTAATTACACAGATTTAAGTTTTATAGAGAATTAGCAATTCATACTGCCATTCTATCTACCAAACTATTTTCCATGTACAAAGATTGTTTCAATTATAGAGCTTAAGCTTTGCAGTTTTGTCTGCTGTGCAGTTCAAGTGTGAAATGTGAACCAACGGAAGTATATGCACATAAACTTGGTGTGTTTTCAATTTACAAGTTGATCATAAATTTCATACCTATTATATGTAGTGAAAACAACATAGTGCCAATTTATAAGTATCATAAAGTGTAATTGCTCTATGAAAGAATTGAAAATAGAAATGATATTTAAATAAGTTGTTGAAAATGCTTATTCAAAAGAATATTATATTTAAATATTTTATTGTATTTGTTTCGAACCACATTCAAGATTCTTGTTGTTGGTTTTAGGGGTATATCCCCAAAATTGTTTCCTTGCAACTGTAAATGTATTCGTGTTATTAATTTATTGCTTGTTTTTACTGAGTAATACAAATGTACTGTTAACGTTGTGTTCTTGTTGCAAGTAGAGGTTGGAAACACATTGTTACTACCAATAAAATTTATGCATCACTATTTTATTTTCCTTCTTATAATAAGCTATTTAAGATCTACAGGTAAAATTTTAACAATTTGAGATGTTAAGTAAAATGTCTGTACTTTTTATTGCTGTAATATTTTCCTCCGACCCAGAGATTAAGCAAATATATGAACCTATTTTTTCTGTTATATTAGTAAAAATCAGGAGGTACAAAAGGTTTTTGTGAAACCGCAAATAGAGAATTGCAAGAAAATTACATATTTATACATAAGCTCTATTGCTGTGTTTATTCTTATTAGCAAAGGGAAATGGGGCGTTTGCACAGTGATAAATGTTAATGAAATTTCCTTACTAAATAAGGCATAGTGTTTATTATAATAGAGACAAAATACTCTTCATAAGAAATATACATAAATTGTAGATAAAGTAAATAATAGCCTATGTAAATTAGTTATACATAAATTACATATACAATATGATGTACAGTTATATATTTCACAAACGTGTATATTTTTTCAAGACTTCCGTGATACACAGCTCTTCCTAAGTAGGTAATTCTGACGTTCATAGCTATGTAAAAAGTTTCTCCTCCTAACAAACAAAGTCTAAAGACATAGCAGTTGAACTGAAAGTAGTGTCTCTCATATCTTAGTAAGGTTTAGCACCAAATGTACTCGACTGTAAAGACTTCATGTGAAGCTAAAGCAATTCCATACGGGTACACTTTACATAACGGTTTATACAATACTTGTGAAGTAAATGTTAATTGTACTTCCAGTTTTTTGGTGTTGTTTAGCTTGATATTCAAAACAGCAGTGTTTTCTCCAATTCTTCCTAAACTAATGTTTGTAGTTGTTCATGTTTTAGTAGCAGGTTTAATGATCTTAACATATTAAAAGTAGTATTCCCCTGACATGTATAATACTAGATGTTCAAAATTTCAAATAAAATTGAGATATTTGCATTTTCTAAAGTATGTGAAGTTGTGTTTATGTAATTAACTTGATATTTGGTTGATTATATATACAAACATTGAAAATAAATGATTTCAGATTCATTGCATATTTTCACTAGTTTTCTTATTTGAAAAAAGTATGTGTGCAACATTAATTAGTTTTATTTCTCATTGAGTTCAGAAAACTTGAACTTTTAGTGTTGAGAATCAAAAGTAAAGAATGTTTTATACTGATTTGTTTTTAAAAAAAAATTAAAAAAGTAGCTCAGTGTTTCTTGTTGCTTCTTTTTTCTTATTTGTATTACATTATGTAAGTGTTTGGATATAATTTTACTAAATTAAAATTAGGGATATGTAAATTAGTCAGGACTTAAAATAATATTTTGTGAAAGAAAAACATGTTCTTTTACTGCTATATATCAGAATTATACAATTTTATATATTTCACTATCTTTGCTCTTAGTTTCAAGTGATTATAAAAATAAGAATTCAAATGATCTATTTGCTAGTTAGTCCATTTTTTGAAACCTGAGGATTATTATATAAAATATTTTTTGTGCAAATAAAAATTTATTTCTGATTAAGTTTGAGTTTGATAAAAATTCTCAATGTGTACAATAAACATCTGTGATACACTGTTATAGAATGTCTTATTACATTTTTATAAAGTGTAAAATTCTGACAGTATTTCATGTTAGTTCACTCTGAAACATCAATTGAATCACCTTTGTACTTGTGTACAACAGTGAAGAAATTACTAAACATTTTAGATATGTGTCATGTATTAAAACAATGCTGTCTGCAATGAGAAAGAATTTGCTTCTTTGATTTGCAGTTTTCATTTGTTGTTACAACTTCAATACCAAAGTCATTTTATTTTGGTAGAGAAATTTCTCTACCAAAACACAATGTTTTGCATTCCATTTAAATTTCAGAACATGTCAAATAGAAAATTGTGAATTTGTTGGTTCGACACTGTGCCAAAATGTAGTATTGATTGATTACACAATTTACAATTACAAAAGTTCATGAATGAAAGAATGACACGAATTCTTGGCTTTTTCGCCCAGTTTTTGTTATTAGATACTTTGGTAAGCAGTTCTAATGTAATTCTAGTAAGGCTTGGAAACTTTTCCTTCAGAAATTTGTTAGGAATTATATGTCAACAATGAATATATTTTTTACAGTTATCTGTGATTTTTATAAAATACTATTTGTGATTTGGAAGTCAAATCGTCATTGGGAAGTAGACAAATGTGAGAAAGTGACATATTCCGGAGAATTGTCTTGTGAGTGTTTTCCTCCATACACTTGGTGCTATGCCTTCTTAGATGTGGTTATTAGTGCTCTTTCTCTGTCACCTGTTCTTTCTGGTCTGGAATTATCAGCACTTGCATGGTTTTAACACAAGATATGTATGCCTTTTGGAAGTGCTATATGCCACAGCCAGTGTTTAAGACTTGTCAGAAAGAATGGAACTTAATTCTAAAGAACCATTATACAACAGCAATAGATATGAGAACTGTGTTTGTCTTCTGTGTACTTCTGTACTTTTTTAAACCGTTATGTCCACATTTATGAAAATGCAGGTTACTTAGACTTGTAGCGTAGAGCAGTGGTTCTCAAAGTTTCTGGGGTTGTAGCTCAGAAAATTCTCATTTCATAAAATGTGAGTCTTATTCCAATAAATGTATTTGTAATTATTTTATATTTGAAGCTTGCAAAATTGATTAGTGTGCAAACATGGTTATTTATGTTAAGCTGGATTGTAGTGAATATAAAATACTTTTATCAATTATCAAACAATGCTCTAATTCTCATCAATGTTAATTGGTGTTTTTTCCTTGAACTAATTACTATAATTTATCACAATTTTTATTGGCATGTGTTTTGAATCACATTTTCATATTTTTTCTCTGAAATTATATTCATGAAAATTTCAGTAAAAATCAAGAGGAAGAAACACCAGTAAAATTGCTAGCGGCAAGAAGGAAGTTACGCTGGGTTGTGACCCTGTATTTGAGAACCACTGGTGTAGAAAATAGGGTGAAGGGAACTTCTACTGTGCCAAATTGTTGACAACTTGTTAGTTTTAAAAATATGAATTAAAAAATGTTCAAAAAATATATTGGATGAACTGAGGTATATTCCAGTTTGTTAAGACCTTTGTGTGTAGTTTCTATATCTATAGATTTACCTGGCACGGTTGACTGTTTCTTGAAAGGAAGATAGGAATTCAAGAATAACACAGTTGAAAGTATATAATTTATGATTTGGTTGCTGTGGTTCTGTTTTTAGCTACTTTGAGTTAGTGAAAAGTAATAACTGCAGGGAACATCTATAGTTTCTGCTCAAAATATTGTTATGTTTGATTGTTGTCTAGTTTTGTGTATTTTGTTTTACACTGCCTTGTTACATCCATCCTTAGAGTAAACTATGAATCATCCAGAATCTTCAGCATGAAAGTTTTGGAGAAAAATAGTGCCCATCACTTTTTTTATTTGTCCTCGTGTTCTTGTTCATTGTATATTGAACATCAGCAAATCAAAATTAATTAATTCAAGTTTTTGGTTTCCTTGCTTTAGCTGAAGAATTTTTTTAGTGTGTCAATTATCTTTGTAATACAATAAACATTTTTTGTCTACCCATCTGTGTATGGTTGCCTTTTGTACAATTATCTAGTTTTGAGGTAACTTTTTGTACCAAACTATGTAATTAAGTAGTTATTTTCTGAACTTTGAATGTCATGAGAACATTAAGTAATGTGTTGTTTGAAAACCAATGCTTCTTCACTGTTCTATTATTGAACTCATAAATTATGTGTGGACCAATTTATCAGAATGTAAGTTATTGAAAAGGAGTTATTGAAGTAAGCAATAATATTGCTTACAGAATTTATGCAATTACAATACACTTGTTATGCAAGCGCCACTACCATTATTGTAGTCTTGGTGTCTTAATTTTGGTATTAAAAAAGTTTGCACTGCCAAATGAGAAGGTTCATTTCATTGCATGCTTGCTTTAGCTTGTCATGAAATGTCTAATAGATTAAAATACTTCTCTTGTTTTCAACTCTTGTTCTTTTACAGTGAAGAAGTTGTGAAGGGAAAGTAAACCAAAATACACCATTTTTTAAATTATTCGCCAACATTTATCTTCTTACTTGTTACTGAAGCAGATGCTTCTGGCAATGAGCAATACATTTGATGTAATAGTTTCAGAAATTTATGAAAAGTAATACTGCTTTTATTATTCAATTTTAAACACATGGTAGAGCACATTTCATTCTTGTAGATTCTATTTAAGTCATATTGTTTCCTTATTTATATGTATTTTCCTTTTCTGAAAATAAATGTTTAATCAGTGTATTGTACTTATAAATTTAATTCTATCTCTGAGTTTGTACAGGTGTACATATCATGATACTCAGTTTCTGCAAATGGTGAATAATAAAGAGAAATTTTAAAGATACTATTTCCTTCTCTTTTTTTTGTATGCCCCTGCATTATTACTAGTAACAAACTCCATGTGGGCTAGTACTCAGATGATTACATGAAAAACAAAATGGGGATTCTGGCTACACCACTTTAAATGAAGCTCTGGACATCTTCAAAATTTTCCCAAAAATGCCTCAAATTTTTTTCTAAATTTCCTGTAAGAATATAGTACACTATACTTATAAAGGTGGCGTAGGTCCGATTTTCATTTAACTCTGAATTTTCGAACATTTCAAAAGTATAGTGGAAAAAATCCTATCTTTGGTTTAGGCGCTAGTAGTGTTCACAGACGGACGTTTTGAAAAAAACTATCTGCGGACGCCAAAATATATATTTCCGTAGAAAACTCGGTATCGATTTTCCGTAGCATTACATAACTTTCCCTACATTTCGTATATTACTCCTTATTTACGTATATGGGTTAGTAAAAAGATGGAATAATCCAGTAACAAATAATGTATTTCAGCTTCCGGGTCAATCCCATCCAGATCAGGTATTGTCTAGTTTCCTTGATAATTGAGCAAATGTTGAAATAGCCCCTTAATTTGCTTCAGGACGTAAATGTAGCTTCACGATTCGCACGTTTTGTTAAATTCTGTTTTTGCTTGTGGTAGCTGAGGGCGAGTTCAAATTTTCTTAGCGATGCAGAAAAATCAAATCTGCAGTTCGTTTACCGTTCCAAATACGTTTTCTATAGCTGGGGAAATAAAATGTATATTTTTACGAGTGTTGCTAATCTCGTGCTTTTTAAATTTTATTATGTTTGTTTTTTAAAAACTTTTGTTCATCTTTCAGCTAAGTACAGTTAAAATGGTGGGAAGGGATTCTGGAATTCGAGAAAACGTGTGCAGATATTCTTCTTCCCCATACGGCACATAGTTTTCACCACAGAACAATAAATGGTGTTTTCACTGTTATTTGACTAAATAAATCATATCAATCGTCTGTCCGTCAGTGAACAACAATAGCGGTTTGACCGTTCAGTCGATTTTCTCCAAAATTGATATTTCCCAATCAACCTGGCTGATACCGCGGCCCCTTGAATTTGAAACCGATATTTTAATTTTGGGATGTACTTTACATAAAGTCATTGGGTCATTAAAAATAAAAAATTACATTTTGTTGTATTGTGACATACCAAAATGACACACGGGTGTGATACGACGGAATTTATGCATATAGAATGTAAAAATTCAAGGAATACGCGAGGCATTGCAACGAAATAAACATAGAGGCCTGCCACGCTGGATGCTAGACGGGAAATGTATTATTGATGAACGGCATGGCCTGGTGCCATTAATATGGAATTGATTAGGGTAGGAATTTTTTTTTTTGCTAGAGCTAAATTTGAAAATTTAGCTCTAGCAAAATTATATTCTCGTTCTCACAATAGCAGCCAAGCAGTTCAGATACTGAGGAACATTATGACATTAATTTTACCAAAGTAGATTTATGTTGAGGGTAATTAGTTCATAAGTGTGTTGGCCAAGCAGTATTGCTTATGCAGTACAGTTTCAATGCATTTTTGCATTTCAAATCAGCCATCGCATGTTCCATTGAAACATAACAGAATTAAACACTAAATTAACTATGTAACTCAATTAATTATGTTACACATTCAGAATTCTTTTAATTCTGTCAGCCTTCATGAAGCTTGTTGCGTGTATTTTGCAAATGTGCATTCCAGCCTGAGATATAGAAATATTCTGGGGAAGATCATTAGGTAGTACATAGACCTTTAGATTGCAAAAGAAAATTATTCGAATAACGAAAAAATGCCATCCGCGTGATCCCTGCAAGCCTCTCATCATTGAGCGCATAATCTTTCCACTGTCTTGCTTACTTATTTACGAATAGATAATATTTGTCAAAATTGACTTACCTAGCGGTGGGAACATATTTTCATGCAATTCTCCTTGTTTTGCTTCTGGACGTAAATGTAGCTTCAATATGTAGACGTTTTGTTGAACTCTCCTTTTGCTTGTAATGGTAGGAGTATAGGTAAAGGCGCGTTACTCTTTTATTAAAAAGGCAATATCTGCAATTCGTTTAGCTTTGCAAATAAGTTTTCTATAACTCTGAAACGAAAATGTATTTTTTTCAAATATTGCTAATCTCGCGCATTTTTAAATTTTATTTATTTAAGGCACGGATCGCTTACATGCGCCAGAAGACGGCGCGGTTAATAAATGCTTAAAAAGAGAAAGAAAATGTCTAAAATTAATACGAAGAAAAGAGAAAGAAATCTATTACAAGGAAAAAGTGAACATATTTTGTGAAATCCTATCCACTTTTTTGAGTCCTGGATATTAATGTTTGAATGTTCTCTGGATCCTCCCCTGCCACCACATTGTTAGCGAGTTCCTGGCACGGCACGGTCTCCTGCCCCAGCCTGCAAACAATGCCGTTCTGGCTGGCGCGGGCTTGTTTGTTTCCTCAAATAAAGAAAAAAGTTTAAAGGGTCGCGTTATGGAATGGTAGTTACCGTGAAATCCCCGCGACGAAGTGTCTGAAGGATGTTCCCGTCAACGTGTTCCAGGAAGCCTACCAGAGCTGATAAATCGCTGGAAAAAGCGTTGACACGCAAGGGTACTATTTTGAAGAATACGTTTAATTTGTACTTTCATTGGTTAAAGTAGGGTACACTGTACACTTTTAGAGAAGCGGGGTGGCGAGGAGGGGTCTCCTCCCCTTCAAGCCCTCCCTAAGCGCTCCGACAGAAATGAACGTAATGTACCGACAAGCGATTTTATGGCGTTTTCACTGACGGTGTTATAACCCAAAGATAGGTTATTACAGCTACCTGAATCATACTCAACTTCCTTCCCGTAAACCATGACCCCGTGCGCACGGAACACATACGCACATGAGGAGTGACCCCTTTCTTGCTACACTTCCACTCAAACCATCACACAACTTCTTTGGCTTTGCCAACCTTATAGGACACTTACACTCAGAACACTTAAATCCTGCAGCAATCAAACCACGTTCTTGCGCCCATTCTGTGACAGCCAAACACCCCCTTCAGCGATTCGCGTAAAAAGCCACATTTATTCTCACCATCGTAGCACAGACACTCGACACTCAAAAACACAAATCACAAAGAATCTGAAGAACGCAAGAAACTTAACTGAGCAACGTAGCTAATCACTTCGACAGCTACCTGACACATACAATCGTGTAGACAAAAACAAGATTTACGTGCCACCACATACCATTTCGTAATGAAGTTTCGACAAGATACTAGGGGGAAATTGCCCCCCCCCCTCTAACTTTTGTTTTAACGTCACGTTCGTCACCAATTACGAATCATTAAAATTATTTCAGAAGTGTATATTTTACAATTCATTTAAATTGCCCACGCATTGCTTTTTATATGTATGTACTAAGTTACGCATATTTCTCCCCAACGAAAGGTTCCCCTCGTTACACCCTCCGCACCCCACCCCCCCCACCGTGAATTTCCGCCTCTCCGGAGCGGCGCGAACTGCGGGTTTAAACGACTTAAGTTGTACCGTATTCAGCCCTTTTATTTTCAATAAATTGTTCTTTATGGATTTCTTTCAATTTGTTTTCAGATAAGTTAGTATAGTAGAGTTAAAATGTGTATTTTGTACTGAATTTTGTCTTTTTTAATTTTATATGTGAAAGTCATATTAAGCAATCGCGCGGTTGTTGAAATAAAAGCGAAAAATTAAGACAGTGAAAAAATTTTCAGATATTTTTTTCTTTCTATTTGCTTGATGTTCAAACTCCAAATTCAATTTCCCTCCAAAACAAGAACGGGTGGAAAAATCTGGACTTTTCCCTCACTCTGGCCTCCTGGAGCCCCAGGTGACTGGACTAAAATATCGTTTTTTGAAAATAAATGTCAACCTAACCTGTTAAAAATAGTTATGTATGCAACAAGTCCTCTAAACGAAATGCTCCGAAAAATATTTGTAGGAAAATTCAATAGATCGCAGCACTATCACAGGGTAATTTACTTTACTGATAACCAATGGTCCGATTTTCGATCTGTAAACGGCATTTGACGCCTTT